TCTCTTCCCCTCCCTTCCCCTCCCCTCCCTTCTCTTCCCCTCCCCTCCCTTCTCTTCCCCTCCCTTCCCCTCCCCTCCCTTCCCCTCCCTTCCCCTCCCTTCCCCTCCCCTCCCTTCCCCTCCCTTCCCCCTCCCCTCCCTTCCCCTCCCTCCCCTTCCCCTCCCCTCCCTTCCCCTCCCCTCCCCTCCCTTCCCCTCCCTTCCCCTCCCCTCCCTTCCCCTCCCTTCTCTTCCCCTCCCTTCCCCTCCCTTCCCCTCCCTTCCCCTCCCTTCTCTTCCCCTCCCTTCTCTTCCCCTCCCTTCTCTTCCCCTCCCTTCTCTTCCCCTCCCTTCCCCTCCCCTCCCCTCCCTTCCCCTCCCCTCCCTTCTCTTCCCCTCCCTTCTCTTCCCCTCCCTTCTCTTCCCCCCCTCCCTTCCCTTCCCCTCTCTTCCCCTCCCTTTCCCTTCCCCTCCCTTTCCCTTCCCCTCCCTTTCCCCTCCCTTTCCCCTCCCTTTCCCTTCCCCTCCCTTTCCCTTCCCCTCCCTTTCCCTTCCCCTCTCTTTCCCTTTCCCTCCCCTCCCTTTCCCTTCCCCTCCCTTTCTCTTCCCCTCTCTTTCCCTTTCCCTCCCCTCCCTTTCCCTTTCCCTCCCCTCCCTTTCCCCCTTTCCCTCCCCTCCCTTTCCCTTCCCCTCCCTTTCCCTTCCCCCCCTCCCTTTCCCTTCCCCTCCCTTTCCCTCCCCTCCCTTTCCCTTCCCTTCCCTTCCCCTCCCTTTCCCTTCCCCTCCCCTCCCTTCCCTTCCTTTCAGCTCTCACTGAGAGCTCTGCAGAGTGTAAATTCAACTCTCCACCCCCTGCTTTCTGAAGCTCATACAAGCTGTATAAATTCTGCACTTTGAACGGATGTAAAAGAGAGAGGACTGCAGATAAACAGGTACAACCTATATAGGAGGATTTGTTTCGTCTCTGTGCATCCCCTTAGATCAGTTACTTCCCTGGGTATATGTAAGGATCTACAACCACGTTAAATAAAAGAAAAACATTCTTACCTTAAAGTGAAACATCGCTCCCCCAATCAACATGACCTATTTTTAACACCCTCGCCCTCCAGAGGATTCCCCCCCCCCCCCCCTCCTGACCAGCAGGCCATTTTTTGCGTTAAGACGCTTTTACTTTAAGTGACAATTGCGCTGTCATGCAACGCTGCACCCAAATGAAATTTATGTCCTTTTTTTCCCACAAATAGAGCCTTCCAAAAAGACTGACAATTTTGAGGAAAAAAAAAACAATGTTTTTTGACTTTTTGCTAATAAACATGTCCAGTAAACAAATGTAAAAAATCAAATTTTGTCATAAAGTTAGGTCAAAATGTACTCTGCTCCGTGTCTTTGCTAAAAAGAAAAAAATCCCATTACGTGTAAATTAATTGGTTTACGTGAAAGTTCTAGCATATACATATGGCGGGATATACACTGGGATTTTTTTTTTTTAATTTTTACTAGTAATGGCGACGGTCAGCGACTTATAGCGAGACTGCAGCGAACATTCTGACACTGGGGGGGGGAACTGACTTGGTGTCACTGACATCCCCAGTGACACCAATACAGTGATCAGTGCTAATAAAAAGCACTAACACTGTACTAATGGACTGGGCAGGAAGGGGTTAACATGAGGGGCGATCAAAGGGTTAACTGTGTGCTGTGTGTGTGCTTCACTGTGTGCAGGAGCTGAAGGGATTGTAAGCTCCCAGGATCAGGGCCCTCCTAACCCTCTTGTATTGAACTGTATTGTTGCTGTATTGTCTCCCGTTATATTGTAAAGCGCTGAGCAAACTGTTGGCGCCATAAATCCTGTATAATAATAATAATATATAAATCCTGTATAATAATAATAATATATAAATCCTGTATAATAATAATATATAAATCCTGTATAATAATAATAATAATAATAATATATAAATCCTGTATAATAATAATAATATATAAATCCTGTATAATAATAATAATAGTAATAATAACGGTTTTATTTACTAAATAGGAGTCCCATAGACATTCATGCAAAAACACCCTCTAGTGACTTCATTGCAAAATCGCATCCCATAGACTTTCATGCAAAAATTACGTCTCGTAGACATTCATGCATAAACGCACTCTAAGGACTTCAATACAAAATCGCGTCCCATAGACATTCATGCAAAAAATACCCTCCAGTGACTTCAATGCAAATTTTCGTCCCATAGACTTTCATTCAAAAACCGCGTCTCATAGACATTCATGCAAAAATGCCCTCTAGTGCAGTGGTTCTCAACCTTTCTAATGCCGCGACCCCTTAATACAGTTCCTCATGTTGTGGTGACCCCCAACCATAAAATTATTTTCGTTGCTACTTCATAACTGTAATTCTGCAGTGGGAGGACTAGCGCCCCATCACTGATGTCAGTGGGATGAATAGTGTCCCATCGTTGGTATCAGTGGGAGGAATAGTGCCCCATCATTGGTGTCAGTGGGAGGAATAGTGCCCCATCATTGGTGTCAGTGGGAGGAATAGTGCCCCATCATTTGTATCAGTGGGAGGAATAGTGCCCCATCATTGGTGTCAGTGGGAGGAATAGTGCCCCATCATTGGTGTCAGTGGGAGGAATAGTGCCCCATCATTGGTGTCAGTGGGAGGAATAGTGTCCCATCATTGGTGTCAGTGGGAGGAATAGTGCCCCATCATTGGTATCAGTGGGAGGAATAGTGCCCCATCATTGGTGTCAGTGGGAGGAATAGTGCCCCATCGTGGGTGTCAGTGGGAGGAATAGTGCCCCATCGTGGGTGTCAGTGGGAGGAATAGTGCCCCATCGTGGGTGTCAGTGGGAGGAATAGTGCCCCATCGTGGGGTGTCAGTGGGAGGAATAGTGCCCCATCGTGGGTGTCAGTGGGAGGAATAGTGCCCCATCGTGGGTGTCAGTGGGAGGAATAGTGCCCCATCGTGGGTGTCAGTGGGAGGAATAGTGCCCCATCGTGGGTGTCAGTGGGAGGAATAGTGCCCCATCGTGGGTGTCAGTGGGAGGAATAGTGCCCCATCGTGGGTGTCAGTGGGAGGAATAGTGCCCCATCGTGGGTGTCAGTGGGAGGAATAGTGCCCCATCGTGGGTGTCAGTGGGAGGAATAGTGCCCCGTCATTGGTGTCAGTGGGAGGAATAGTGCCCCGTCATTGGTGTCAGTGGGAGGAAAAGTGCCCCGTCATTGGTGTCAGTGGGAGGAATAGTGTCCCATCATTGGTGTCAGTGGGAGGAATAGTGCCTCATCATTGGTGTCAGTGGGAGGAATAGTGCCCCATCATTGGTATCAGTGGGAGGAATAGTGCCCCATCATTGGTGTCAGTGGGAGGAATAGTGTCCCATCATTGGTATCAGTGGGAGGAATAGTGTCCCATCATTGGTGTCAGTGGGAGGAATAGTGCCCCATCATTGGTGTCAGTGGGAGGAATAGTGCCCCATCGTGGGTGTCAGTGGGAGGAATAGTGCCCCATCATTGGTATCAGTGGGAGGAATAGTGCCCCATCATTGGTGTCAGTGGGAGGAATAGTGCCCCATCATTGGTGTCAGTGGGAGGAATAGTGCCCCATCATTGGTGTCAGTGGGAGGAATAGTGCCCCATCATTGGTGTCAGTGGGAGGAGGAATAGTGCCCCATCATTGGTGTCAGTGGGGGGAGGAATAGTGCCCCATCATTGGTGTCAGTGGGAGGAATAGTGCCCCATCATTGGTGTCAGTGGGAGGAATAGTGCCCCATTGTGGGTGTCATTGGGAGGAATAGTGCCCCATCGTTGGTTTCAGTGGGAGGAATAGTGCCCCATCGTGGGTGTCAGTGGGAGGAATAGTGCCCCATCGTGGGTGTCAGTGGGAGGAATAGTGCCCCATCGTGGGTGTCAGTGGGAGGAATAGTGCCCCATCATTGGTGTCAGTGGGAGGAATAGTGCCCCATCATTGGTGTCAGTGGGAGGAATAGTGCCCCATCATTGGTATCAGTGGGAGGAATAGTGCCCCATCATTGGTGTCAGTGGGGGGAGGAATAGTGCCCCATCATTGGTGTCAGTGGGAGGAATAGTGCCCCATCATTGGTGTCAGTGGGAGGAATAGTGCCCCATTGTGGGTGTCATTGGGAGGAATAGTGCCCCATCGTTGGTGTCAGTGGGGGGAGGAATAGTGCCCCATCGTTGGTATTAGTGACACAAATGATGGGGCACTATCCCTTCCACTGACACCAATGATACTTACCTTGCTGACTCCTGCTCCAGCCTGGGCTCGCTCTCTCCCTCTCCCATCTACATCCTGCATACCTGGCTGCAGCAGCAAAATTTGCACTTACCTGTCAGCTGTCTTCCTTCTCTGGCCTCTCTCTTCACTCGCTCCTGCAGCTCCCTCGATCTTCTTCGATCTCCGCCCGCTGCTGCTCGGCTCCTCCTCTCCAAGCTCCACCTCCTCGCCGGTGATTGGCCGCCTGTGTGCCTCTCCTGAGCTACAGTTCCGGTGGCCAATCAGCGGCGAGGAGGCAGAGCTGTTGAGTGATCCCGGAGGTGTGGCCAGGTTACAGGGGCAGCATATCATCCCTCCCACAGATCGCCTGAGACAGGAGCGGTGTCTCGGTTGATAAGACCATCGGAAATATGTGTTTTCCGATGGTCTTAGGCGACCCCTGTGAAATGGTCGTTGGGGGTCGCGACCCCCAGGTTGAGAACCGCTGCTCTAGTGACTTCATTGCAAAATCGCTTCCCATAGACATTCATGCAAAAACGCCCTCTAGTGCCTTCAATGCAAAATCGCTTCCCATAGACTTTCATGAAACAAATGCGTCTCACTCATGCAAAAATGCCCTCTAGTGTCTTCAATGCAAAATGGCGTCCCATAGACTTTTGTGCAAAGTCGTGTCTTAGTCCCTACGTGCAAGCATTTTTTTGTTGGTGGACATGTACACATTTTTTTTTTTTAATTTATTTTATTTTTTGTGATCTTCTTTTCAGGTTCCAACCTCAAGATGATTGATCCTTTGGAGAATGACCTTTTTGATATCCCTGATTATGAAAACACAGAAGATGAGAATTTTCCACCTCTACCCCCTCCACACTCTCCTGGGGGCAGAGAAGAGAGAAGATGCTGGTGATATGGAAAATGGAGGTAATTGTACAGAAGTTACAGCAATATATCAACCAAATGTACTGTGTAGTTTGGAAAACCACCAAACGCAGAAAAGGGTAAAATATAATGCAAGGTCTAAACGTAGCATTCCTTCCCCCACCGCTTTCTCATAGCTGTGAACTCAAACCACTGAAAACAATCAGTGCCTTCATAATAGCATCGTGGGCCCCTACCAGGGAGATGGTGACCTGCGTGTGCGCACGTCTGTGCGTGTCACGCTGCGGCAAACCTTGGGTGTGGCTAAATTATGCTACATATTGGACTTTTTAGTCTGATTAGAAGTAATGATAATTGGCGCAAATACTGGACCAAAGTCCGAAAAGTCTAGTAGTATTTAGAATTAGTCCGGGTGACTTGGATAGGGGGGGGGGGGGGGGGGGGGGGGGGGGGTCCGTGTGGCACTCAGGGCAAGCTCCATGCAGTACTGTAGCAGACTCTGTGTAGTGAGGAGAGAAGAAGAAGCGCCTCTAAGTGCGGCAGACCACTTTAATATATAATAAAAAGTAGGAACACTCACATGGAACACTAATGGCGGAAGCGCACTCCTTTCTCAAGCAGGGATTCCCCTGCTTGAGAAAGGAGCACGCTTCCGCCGCTAGAAGCCAGCGCATGCTCCGAAACGCGTTGCTTTGCATCTTGGTCACTGACGACATCACGCCTACGCCGACGTTGCGCTTCAGCGTGCGTTCCAGTCGCCATCTTTATATATATATATATATATATATATATATATATATATATATATATATATATATATATATATATATATATATTCCACTTTTTTTTTCCACAATGCTGTTGGGGGTCTTTGGTGACATATCAGGGGTCTAAATAGACCCTTGAAATCTCACGTTTGAGACAGAAAACGGGACTGAGGAAACACATTCCCCATTTCCTTTCTGTAACCTCATCTTTACTGCAGATGAGTCAATCTCCTGTTCATTCATAAACGGGAAGCATAGCAAACTGTTTACTGTGCTTCAGAAATGAATGATCGCAGTGAGCGATTGGTACCGTTCACTCACACTGTGTTCATTTAGAAAAGGAAGGCTTCGGTAAATGACATATTTACCAGCCACTTTCCCCGATCTCCATCTTGACAGATCCTCCTGTGAGGCTGCAACTGCTGGCAGGAGAGGAGGCAGGCTGGCAGCACTTTGGGGGGCAGGGTCACACAGGGGGAACCAGGCAGCAGAGGGGAGTCTGATAGAGGGCAGGAGCGGTGATCAGTGTGGCGGGTGGGGGAAATTACTGGAACCAATCTTTCATGGCTCTCCTTGCAGCAGCTGAAAGCCGGCGGGAGGGAGACGGTGATACCAGATTCAGCTACTGTTCCAGTTGTTTTTCCCACCCGTGCACTGATCACACACTGTCCACATGCGATCCCTCTGCTAGAGGGGAAGCTGCGGGGGCCCCCCATGCATCGGGGCTCCTAGGCGCACTGCCTGTGAGGTAAGACGGCCCTGCAAACAATATGATTTTGTACTTCCCATAAATCCCTTTTACAGTGATTGTAAAGGCTCAAGGTTTTTTACCTTCATGGATTCTATGCATCTCTGTGGTTTTTATTTTTTGCGCTATAAAAAAAAAGACAATTTTGAAAAAACAACATTTTTGCTATAAAACATAGCCACTAGCCGTGCATGCGCAGTGAGAATGGTAGGACGTCATATGACGTCCTATCAGAAGGAGAGAACCACCTTGCGCCCGTCATTGTACTATAGGGCGGGCAGAAGGTGGTTAAAGAGGATCTTCACACTCTGAAATACTACTACAAAAACTGTAGCTGCTGACTTTTACTAAAAGGAAACTTACCTGTCCGGGGCTCCAGCGCATGTTTACAAAGGAAAGCCGGCTGTGACTCCTTGTGACTTCACAGCCGGCTTTCCACTGCGCATGCGCAAGCTGCACTGTGCTTTGCCAGTGGTCCCGCAGCCTTTCTCAGACCCCTGAGGTGTTAAGACCTGACGGCTCTTTCAAATTCAGCTAGTAGGGCCTCGGTGATGCGCCTCTTGACCCAACCCCCTCCTACGTAATGGAAGACTAAGGCCTCCTGGGATATGTGGCGTGCATATACCAGGAGGCCCAGCAAGCACTGTGCACATCATTTGCCTGAGCAAATGACATGCATTAAGGGACGGGGACTTGGTGATTGTAAAAAAAAAAAAAAAATCCCAAAAACACCACTGCGCTATTCGTGGAGAGGGGGGAATTTTATGTAGAGGGCGAAGATCTGCTGTAAGTAGTGGATGTGTATGAAAAGTTTTTGTAGAAGAATCCCTGCCTGCTTCCCCAGTCTGCAGAGACCTGTATTGGAATCCTGCAGCAAAATCCAGGGCCTTCTGCATCGCCACACACCTCCTCCTCCTCCTCCTCCTCCTCTTCCTCCTCCTCCTCTCGACCCCTACGCCATCTCATTCCAACCAATTGAAGAAAACTCAAATGATCAACATCAAAAGCCCTCTGCATAACACGCCCTCTCTTCTTATAGATGCTTTCTGATACATGAAACATAATCAATAGTCTTTCATTTTATTATGTTTCTTAGATGACTGGACCAGGAATATGGGAGAGACACAGCCAGAAGAAGAGCCTAAACCTGCCAGGAGAGCAGTGAAGAGGCCGCAGCCCAAACTGGATGCCAATCGGTAAGTATTTTTGTACCTGGATAGGGGGTCAGAGATCAGATTTTGGTCATCTGTAGCTGCATAGTAAGCGTGCAGCTGCTCCAGGCAGAGAATACATTGTTCTTCCTATGAAGGAAATGCTGTAGGAAAAGTTGCAGTTCACAATTTACTACAGTGGGATAGTCTTGTGTTACCCAAGTACTGCCAACATGAAAAGAGAACTCTGCATTGGTAAGTTGTGGTGCCTCGTATGTATTTTCAGGTTGCTTGCATTTTTCTCTAGTAGGAGGAGATACCTTTTCCTTAAAATTGCTACTAAAATCTAGTTTAGCAGATGAAAGCATTACTAAAAACATGAGTCCTCTTAACCACATGCCGCCCAGCCACTGTATAAACACGGCGGCAGGGTGGCACGGGCAGGCAAAACCACGTTTTAAAACGTGTGTTTTGTAAACAGGTAGGGGGTGCGCGTGAGGCGCGCCGCCGCCTTACCTGTCCCGCCGATCACCGCCGCGGATGTCAGTCGCAGGGTCACAGCCGGCTATTTCCTGGCGATTGGCGGCAATCAGTGACAGAGAGCACAGCTGCAGTAGCTGTGCTTTCTGTCACTTCCATGACAGCTCGAGGACAAGCTGATCGGGACAGAAGAGTTTCTCTCTCCCGATCAGCCTGTCCCCATCCAGCACACACCCCCGCCCCCTAGTAAAACACGCCCCTCACACAGATAACCCTTCCCTGAAAAATAAAGTTAACCCCTTCCTCCCCAATGCCATTAGTACAGTGTCAGTGTTTAATTTTTTTTTTTTGCACTGATCACTGTATTGGTGTCACTGGGGATGTTGGTGACCCCAAGTCAGTACCCCCCAATGTCAGAATGTCCGCTGCAGTCCCGCCATAAGTCGCTGATCGCCGCCATTATTAGTATAAAAAAACCCTAAAAATCCCAGTATCTTTCCCGCCATTTGTAAACGCTATAACTTTCACGTAAACCTACACGTATTGGGTTTTTTTTTTTGTAGCAAAGACATGTCGCAGAATGCATTTTGGCAGAAATTTATGACTAAATTTGATTTTTAAATTTTTTTTTACTGGACATGTTTTATAGCAAAAAGTCCAAAATATTGTTTTTTTTTTTCCTCCAAAATTGTCAGCCTTTTTTTTTTTATAGCGCAAAAAATAAAAAATGCACAGGCGATCAAATTGAAAGCTCAATTTGTGGGAAAAAAAGGATGTAAATTTCATTTATGTACCGTATGGCATGACCGCGCAATTGTCTGTTAAACTAGCGCAGCGCTGTATAGCAAAAAAATGGTGTAAATTGCAGTATCCATACCATAGTTTGTAGACGCTATAACTTCACACAAAGCAATCAATATACACTTATTGGGATTTTTGTTACCAAAAACATGGAGCAGAATACATTTTGGCCTAAATTTATAACTAACTTTTGAGTTTACTATATATTTTTTATAGCTGAAAGTAAAAAATATTGTTTGTCTTCAAAATTTGTGGCCTTTTTTTGTTTATAGTGTGAAAAATAAGCGCACAGGTGGTCAAATACCACCGAAAGAAAGCTCTATTTGTGTGAAAAAAAGGACGTAAATTTCGTTTGGGTGCAGCATTGCATGACCGCGCAATAGTCAGTTGAATTAGTGCAGCGCCGAGTAGCAAAAAGAGGCGTGGTCATTAAGGGGGGTAAATCCTCTGGAGGGCAAGTGGTTAACAAGCGTTTATGGCCACCCAGTAATATAGTTTCTACTGTACTGAGTACAGGTACATTCGCTGAAGCATGCCAGAAGCAGTGTGACCGGTGACTACCACCTCTCTGTACATGACTGTATTGTACTATTGATGGGCTGATAGGTTGGAATACAGAATACGGGCTGTTAAAGTTACAGTTAGACATAAAAAGACAAAAGTCCATCCAGTTCAACCAAAAAAAAAAAAGTTAAAATCCACAGGGAGCTGAGACTGAGCGTGTGCCTAATGGGCAGCCAAGATCCACAGCCCAATCTGTGAAGCCATTCTTTTTTGTTGCTGTGTTAACATACCCGGGGGAGATTTTTTTTTTTTTTTGTCTTTTCCTAGTACTTTTTCAGGGATGAAGCAACTTTATATTCACAATGACATCACCTCTTGTCGTTTAACCATTTCAATACCGGGCAATTTTACACCTTCCTGCCCAGGCCAATTTTCAGGTTTCAGCGCTCTCACACTTTGAATGACAATTGCGCGGTCATACAACATTGTACCCAAACTAAAATTTTATCATTTTCTTCACACAACTAGAGCTTTCTTTTGGTGGTATTTAATTTAATTATTGCTAAATAAAAAAAAAAAAAAACGTTTTTTCTTTGTTTCTGTTATAAAAGTTTGCAAATAAATGATTGTTCTTTATAAATTTAGGCTGAGATGTATTCTGCTACATGTCTTTGGTGAAAATAACCCAAATTAGGATGTATTATTTAGTTTGTAGGAAAGTTATAGAGTTCACAAACTATGGTATAGATCTGAATATTGATCAATCCTGAAGTAATGACGGCCAATCTAATTTCTTGAGGTCCAAGAATGTCAGAATAGTACAGATATCCCCCAAATGTCAGGACAGTACAGATATCCCCCAAATGTCAGGACAGTACAGATATCCCCCAAATGTCAGGACAGTACAGATATCCCCCAAATGTCAGGACAGTACAGATATCCCCCAAATGTCAGGACAGTACAGTACAGATACATACCCCCAAATGTCAGGACAGTACAGATATCCCCCAAATGTCAGAACAGTACAGATATCCCCCAAATGTCAGGAACAGTACAGATATCCCCCAAATGTCAGGACAGTACAGATATCCCCCAAATGTCAGGACAGTACAGATATCCCCCAAATGTCAGGACAGTACAGATATCCCCCAAATGCCAGGACAGTACAGATATCCCCCAAATGTCAGGACAGTACAGATATCCCCCAAATGTCAGGACAGTACAGATATCCCCCAAATGTCAGGACAGTACAGATATCCCCCAAATGTCAGGACAGTACAGATATCCCCCCAAATGCCAGGACAGTACAGATATCCCCCAAATGTCAGGACAGTACAGATATCCCCCCAAATGTCAGGACAGTACAGATATCCCCCAAATGTCAGAACAGTACAGATATCCCCCAAATGTCAGGACGGTACAGATATCCCCCAAATGTCAGGACAGTACAGATATCCCCCAAATGACCCCTTTTTGCAGAGTAGACAGTCCGACGTACTTCATAAGAGGTATGGCGAGTTTTTTGAAGTTGTATTTTTTTTTGTCATTTTTCGGAAAATGAAAAAATAAAAAAAATTATTTTCACTATTTTTTTTTACATACTGTCACCAGTGCAGTACAGCGTCATCATATAACTGGCATGGCGGTGATCAGGGACACTGACTGGTGACAGTGTGAAAAAAAAAAAATATATATATATATTTTTTTTATTTTAAATTTTTTATTAAATTTTTTTTTTTTTTTTCATATTTCACTATGTCCAAAGTAGTACAATGTTACCATAGTAACATTGTACTACTTTGGGGAAGTGATCAGTATTTTTTTTTTTAGTTTACACAATTTGCTTATAGCAAATAATTACTTTGCTATAAGCAAGCATTTACCTGAATGACATCCATTCATTCAGGGTTTTTTATTTTTATTTTTTTGTGCTTAGTTGTGATTTGGCCACAGCTAATCACATGACATGTGCATGTGATTAGCTGTGATCATTCACAGCTAGACACTAGTATACAATGGATGGCATGAATGAAGCCATCCATTGTATGCAACTGTCATGTGACCTGCTGTGATTGGTCACAGCAGGTCACATGGTACCGGCAACGGGGGCCGGTACTCAGATCTGTCATCGGCCGTGTCTGAGGTACACATCCGGTGACAGATCCCGCCGCTGCGCGGCTCTGCAAGCGTGCAAACCGCGCATGTGCTGGAGGACGCCATATGGCGGCCTCCCGGAAAGCTAGTACATTTTTCCGGACGCCTTTCGGCCATAGGCTAGGCGTCAAATGGTTAAAGATCTTCTTTGAACATTAGTTCCAGGTGGTAATATGGCTCATTTTATATTGCTGATCTGTGATGTTCGAAACAATCCTGCTGGACTTCCGCCCCAAAGCTGAAACCCAGGAATTAGACGAGCTTTACCCTTGAAGTGGGGCCCGCTCACCCTGCAAGGGTCAGATGCTCGAAGGATTAATGAGTAAGGTGTAATAGTTGCCTTGTTCCTGACTGAAGCAAGGTCCCTCCATCCACGCAATCTGTCCCCGAAGCCTCCTTTGTGAGGTGCTTCAGTCCTGGTCACAAGCTCGCCTCCTCATGGACAATGCAGGATTAATCGTCCTGTACTGTAAGTGATGATGCTGAAGGGCCGCCCAAAACTTCGGGAAGAACAGCATTGGAGTAAAAGATTGGATAAGTAATACACATCATCAGCTGCACCTAAAGACGCAATGGGCATTTAACCCTTGCAGGGCGGAGGGGGGCTCACTGCATGGGCATAGTTGGCCCATAGATGTACGGGGCATCCGGAAAGTATTCCCGGCGCATAACTTTTACCACATTTCGGTATGTTACAGCTTTATTCCAAAATGGATTAAATTCGTTTTTTTTCCTCAACATTCTACAAACAATACCTCATAATGACAACGTAAAAGAAGTTTGTTTTGAAATCTTTGCAAATTATTAAAAATAAATAATGTAAACCCCCCCCCCCATGTATATAAGTATTCACAGTCTTTGCCATGACACTCAAAATTGAGCTCTGGTGCATCCTGTTCCCACTGATCATCCTTGAGATGTTTCCACTGAGTCCACTTCAGTTGATTGGACATGATTAGGAAAGGCATAAATCTGTCTATAGAAGGTCCCACAGTTACCAGTGCATGTCGGAGCACAAACCAAGCCATGAAGTCCAAGGAATTGTCCGTAGACCTCCGAGACAGGATTGTATCAAGGCACAGGTCTGGGGAAGGGTACAGAAAATGTTTTGCGGCATTGAAGGTCCCAATGAGCACAGTGGCCTCCATCATCTGTAAATGGAAGAAGTTTGGAACCACCAGGAATCTTCCTAGAGCGGGCCGCCCGGTCAAAATGAGCAATCGAGGGAGAAGGGCCTTAGCCAGGGAGGTTACCAAGCACCCGATGGTCACTCTGAAAGAGCTCCAGCATTTCTCTGTGGAGAGAGGAGAACCTTCCAGAAGAACAAGCATCTCGGCAGCACTCCACCAATCAGGCCTCTATGGTAGAGTGGCCAGACGGAAGCCACCCCTCAGTAAAAGACAAATGGAAGCCCACCTGGGAGTTTGCCAAAAGGCCCCTGAGGTACTCTCAGACAAGAGAAACAAAACTCTGGTCTGATGAAACAAAGATTGAACTCTTTGGCCTGAATGCCAAGCGCCATGTCTGGAGGAAACCAGGCACCGCTCTCCACCTGGCCACTACCATCCCTACAGTGAAGCATGGTGGTGGCAGCATCATGCTGTGGGGATGTTTTTCAGCGGCAGGAACTGGGAGACTAGTCAGGATGGAAGGAAAGACAAATGCAGCAATGTACAGAGACATCCTTGATGAAAACCTGTTCCAGAGTGCTCCGGACCTTAGACTGGGGCGACGGTTCATCTTTCAACAGGACAACGACCCTAAGCACACAGCCCCATAACAAAGGAGTGGCTACGGGCCAACTCTGTGAATGTCCTGGAGTGGCCAGAGCCCAGACTTGAACCCAATTGAATATCTCTGGAGAGATCTGAAAATGGCTGTGCACCGACGCTCCCCATCCAACCTGATGGCGCTTGAGAGGGACTGCAAAGAAGAATGGGAGAAATCGGCCAAAAATCGGTTTGCCAAGCTTGTAGCATCATACTCAGAACAACTCGAGGCTGGAATTGGGGCTAAAGGGGCTTCAACAAAGGATTGAGCAAAGGCTGGGAATACTTATGTACATGGGGGGGGGGGGGCTGGGAATACTTGTGTACATGGGGGGAGGGGGGCTGGGAATACTTATGTACATGGGGGGGAGGGGGGCTGGGAAGACTTATGTACATGGGGGGGGGGGGGCTGGGAAGACTTATGTACATGGGGAGGGGGGGGGGCTGGGAATACTTATGTACAGGGGGGGAGGGGGGCTGGGAATACTTATGTACATGGGGGGGAGGGGGGCTGGGAATACTTATGTACATGGGGAGGGGGGGGAATGGGAATACTTAATTGTACATGGGGGGGAGGGGGGGGGGGGTACATGGGGAGGGGGGGGGGCTGGGAATACTTATGTACAGGGGGGGGAGGGGGGGCTGGGAAGACTTATGTACATGGGGGGGAGGGGGGCTGGGAAGACTTATGTACATGGGGAGGGTTTTGTTTTTTTTTTTTTTAATAAATTGCAAAGGTTTCAAAACAAACTTCTTTCACGTTGTCATTACGGGGGATTGTTTGTAGAATGTTGAGGAAAAAAAATGAATTGAATCCATTTTGAGGAATCAGAACATGAATCACAGAACATGAATCACAGAACATGAGAACATGAATCACAGAACATGAATCACAGAACATGAGGCTGTAACATAACAAAATGTGGCAAAAGTGAAGCGCTGGGAATACTTTCTGGATGCTCTGAACTAGACCACAGGAGTATCATTTCATTTTTATTTATTTTTTATTTTTTTTACAAAACCCAGGTAGAAATCTGGTTTTCAGTGTTTTTTTTTTTTTTTATTTTGTCCTATTTATTTGCTCTCCTACCACCCTGTCTGCATTTTTTTTTTTTTTATAGGCTTACTTCACAGCGTGGTTTACCAGCTTTACGCAACGACATCTGTTCGATGATACAAAGTTCAAGGCAAAGGGCATGAGGTGAGGCTCTGCTAAGGGGGAAATTTTACTTGCAGTATTGGTTTTAAAAAGGAGAATTCTCCAGTGGTGACCTGCTGGGTGGATTTGCCCCCTTTTTCTGCCTTTTAATAGGGCTCTTTTGAAGGTTTCACTTTTTATGAGCAGAAACAGTGCAGTGCTTCATGTTGTGCAGTAAATTTCCTGTCCATGTTGAAAGTTTTAGCAAATGTGTTGCAAGAGAAGGTTCTCTGTAATTCTAGTATTAATACACACATATTTAAAGTGATTACTAAAACCCGGACCCCGCATTCACTATATCTGATCTCCCCGGACACCCGCATTCACTATATCTGATCTCCCCGGACCCCGCATTCACTATATCTGATCTCCCCGGACCCCGCATTCACTATATCCGGTCTCCCCAGACCCCCGCATTCACTATATCCGGTCTCCCCGGACCCCGGCATTCACTATATCCGGTCTCCCCGGACCCTGCATTCACTATATCCGGTCTCCCCGGACCCCGCATTCACTATATCCGGTCTCCCCAGACCCCGCATTCACTATATCCGGTCTCCCCGGACCCCGCATTCACTATATCCGGTCTCCCCGGACCCCGCATTCACTATATCCGGTCTCCCCGGACCCCGCATTCACTATATCCGGTCTCCCCGGACCCCGCATTCACTATATCCGGTCTCCCCGGACCCCGCATTCACTATATCTGGTCTCCCCGGACCCTGCATTCACTATATCTGGTCTCCCCGGACCCCGCATTCACTATCACTATATCTGGCTCTCCCGGACCCCGCATTCACTATATCTGGTCTCCCCTGGACCCTGCATTCACTATATCCAGTCTCCCAAAGTACACAGAACATGGAAATGCAATTATTTTAGTAAATATAAACTGCTAAATCCCTTTTCTCATCAGCAGTATATAGCAGTCTTGTGATTTCTATCAGTGTCCAGCACAGCACTAGTTAAAGCTTGTAAGAAGCGGTTTCATTCTGCTCTAGGAGGATACAGAACCCCTGACTTCTGTCTGGACAGTGCAGATTGGCCCTGTGCTGATCACATGCCTCCCAAACAAGAAAGAAAAAAAACCTCTAGCAATACACACTAAACTGAGCATGTACAGAGTGACTCCTAGTGCTCTGTACTATCTGCAGATGGATTGGGGACATTAGAAAAAGGGAGGATCAGAGAAGACAGGATCAAACAGCCTTTTTACACAATGCGGAGGATTAACCCCTTAGGTTCCACAGTGAGTATAACAAGCATGCTTTACTGCATCTACAGACTGATTGTACTGTTTGGGGGTTTCAGTAACACTTTAATTAAAGTCTCTTGATATAGTACTAGTGAACAGTATGGCCTTGTTCACACGAGCGTACTACACCATATGCCAATGCTAGGACTGTGTTTGCCCGCGCAGGTGTACAAGTGTTCCATGCATCCCCATGCAGGCAGACCCATTCATGTCAATTGGGATGCAGCGGCTGCACGGACACAGCCGCTGCTCCCAAAATGACATTCCTGTGTGGGTCGCTGAACACACAACAGACATTTAAAAAAAAAAAAGATAATTTTTCCTGAAGACCTTGTTCACACGAGTGTACTTCATTGTACGCCTATCAGAGGTACAGTGTTTGCCCGTACGGGGATGTACATGTGTTCCGTGCATCCCGGTGCAGGCAGTCCCATTATTGTGAATTGGGATGCAGCAGTTGCTCCCAAATTGTCATCCGTGCGGTCTCTGAACACTGCATTCTGGAACCTGCATCTGCATGGACCCGGCTGTCAGATTGGGAGAAACTGCTGTGTCCCAATTCACATGAATGGACCTGCCTGCGAGGGGATGCATGGACTAACGCAGCCCTCACACAGTCCTACGCCCGTATGAAGCCTTACACTCACAATGAGAAGAAATGACGTAATATTTACTTAGCGTGGTTACAGAAATAGGTTTCCCCGTAAAAGTGACACTTATAACTAAAGCCCTTTGCCAGCTCTAAAAATTGATTAACCCCTTAAATACCAAGATGATTTTAACTGCTTTAGGACCGCCCACATTGTACTGTGTATGGGGGGCGGCTCCTACAGGCATAGCAATGGTCCTGTACATCGGTGCCTGTTTCTGGGATCAGGATGCGCGTGCGCCCCCCCTTCCCTCCCCACTCAGAAGCAGGGAGAAGAAACAAACAGACTTTTAGTAAAATCAGCATATATTAACACTTGTTACGCACTCACAGCTCCTTGATCACCCCGAGATGTTCAGCCCTTCCCAGCCAGTGTCATTAGTACAGTGACCATGTGTAGTATTATCACTGATCACTGTATTAGTGTCACTGGTGATGTCAGTCAGTTCCCACCCAGTGTCAGAATGTCCGCTGTACTATCACAGTGCCACTATAAGTCGCTGGTCGCCGTCATTACGTGTGTATGTATGTATGTATGTGTGTGTGTGTGTGTGTGTGTGTGTGTGTGTGTGTTGTGTGTGTATATATATATATATATATATAACTCCAAGGTATGTGTGTGTGTGTGTATATATATACATATAACTCCAAGGTGTGTGTGTGTGTGTGTATATATATATATATATATATACCTCACCCCGGAATTTTATATATATATATATATATATATATGCAGTAATACCTCGGTTTCCGAATTTAATTCGGTATGCGGGAAACGCCGTTTCCCATAGGAATGCATTGATCACCTATGAATCCGTTCCGAAGGTCAGAAAAAAGTAAACGCTACTAAAATACCGCATGGGATATTGTATCAAGTCATGCGGTATTTTAGCAGTGACAACCATGTGTTAATGTTTCAGCTGTCAGCAGGGTTCCCCACTGACAGCTGTATGTAAAAGAATTGCCAGCAATTAAAAAAAAATATTTTTTTCAAAAAACGGCGTGGGGTCCCCCCTCCCATCCATACCAAGCCGTTCCGGTCTGGTATGGATTTTGAGGGGAACTCCCACGCCAAAATTAAAAAAAAAAAAAAAATCTCCAAAATCCTCCAAAAAAAAAAATCTCCAATAACCAAGCATGCAGCCCGAAAGGTCAGAAAAGGGGGGGTATCAAGTCAGAGGGGGGGAAAGCGAGCGCGAGCCCCCCCCCCCCGTGCCCCCCCTGAACCATACCAGGCCACATGCCCTCAACATGGCTCCAACCCCCAAAGCACCTTGTCCCCATGTTGATGGGGACAAGGGCCTCTTCCCCACAACCCTGCCCGGTGGTTGTGGGGGTCTGCGGACCCTCTCCCCCCCCATGTGAATGAGTATAGGGTACATAGTATCCCTACTCATTCACGAAAAACAAAAAGTGTAGTGTGAAAAAAGACCGGACATGGTCTTTGACAAGTCCTTTGTTAAAAGAAAAAACTAAAAGAATGTCCCCCGCAGTAGATCCAACGTCAATCACGATGCCCGCCGCCGCTGCTGCCGCCAACCCAAAAAAAGAATAAGAAAAAAAAAGGCTCTTCTCCCAACGATGGCTTCCAAAAGCTGTCTGCTTCTGAGGTGGCTTGAGAGTTCTTAAATATGTAAGGGGCGGGGCCACCCAGGGATATCACCCGAGTGACCCTGCACCATGTGACATCATTGAGTGTGTGTGTGTATATATATGTATATGTGAGTGCGTTTCTATGGTGTGAACCGACCTTAACCAATTCAATACCGGGCAATTTTCCCCCTTCCTGCCCAGGCCATTTTTCAGGTTTCAGCGCTCTCACACTTTGAATGACAATTGCGCGGTCATACAACATTGTACCCAAACTAAAATTTTATCATTTTCTTCACCCAACTAGAGCTTTCTTTTGGTGGTATTTAATCACTACCGGGGTTTTTATTTTTTGCTAAATTAACAAAAAAAGACCAAAAGTTTTGAAAACAAAACACATTTTTCTTTGTTTCTGTTATAAAAGTTTACAAATAAATAATTGTTCTTCATAAATTTAGGCCGAGATGTATTCTGCTACATGTCTTTGGTGAAAATAACCCAAATTAGGATGTATTATTTAGTTTGTAGGTTATAGAGTTCACAAACTATGGTATAGATCTGAATATTGATCAATCCTGAAGTACTGACAGCCAATCTAATATCTTGAGGTCCAAGAATGTCAGAAGAACAGTACAGATATCCCCCCAAATGTCAGGACAGTACAGATATCCCGTAAATGTCAGAACGGTACAGATATCCCGTAAATGTCAGGACGGTACAGATATCCCCCAAATGTCAGGACAGGACAGATATCCCCCCAAATGTCAGCACGGTACAGATATCCCCCAAATGTCAGGACAGGACAGATATCCCCCAAATGTCAGGACAGGACAGATATCCCCCAAATGTCAGGACAGGACAGATATCCCCCAAATGTCAGGACAGTACAGATATCCTCCAAATGTCAGGACAGTACAGATATCCCCCAAATGTCAGAACAGTACAGATATCCCCCAAATGTCAGAACGGTACAGATATCCCCCCAATGTCAGAACAGTACAGATATCCCCCCAATGTCAGAACAGTACAGATATCCCCCCAATGTCAGAACAGTACAGATATCCCCCAAATGTCAGGACGGTACAGATATCCCCCAAATGTCAGGACGGTACAGATATCCCCCCAAATGTCAGGACAGTACAGATATCCCCCAAATGTCAGGAGAGTACAGATATCCCCCAAATGTCAGGAGAGTACAGATATCCCCCAAATGTCAGGAGAGTACAGATATCCCCCAAATGTCAGGAGGGTACAGATATCCCCCAAATGTCAGGAGGGTACAGATATCCCCCAAATGTCAGGACGGTACAGATATCCCCCCAAATGTCAGGACGGTACAGATATCCCCCAAATGTCAGGACAGTACAGATATCCCCCCAAATGTCAGGACGGTACAGATATCCCCCAAATGTCAGGACAGTACAGATATCCCCCAAATGTCAGGACAGTACAGATATCCCCCAAATGACCCCTTTTTGCAGAGTAGACAGTCCGACGTACTTCATAAGAGGTATGGCGAGTTTTTTGAAGTTGTATTTTTTTGTCGTCATTTTTCGGGAAAATGAAAAAATAAAAAAAATTATTTTCACAATTTTTTTTTACATACTGTCACCAGTGCAGTACAGTGTCATCATATAACTGGCATAGCGGTGATCAGGGACACTGACTGGTGACAGTGTGAAAAAAAAAAAAATATTTTTTTTTTAATTTTTTTATTATTTTAAATTTTTTTTTACTTTTTTTTGTTTTTTTTAAGATTTTTTTTTTCATATTTCAATATGTCCAAAGTAGTACAATGTTTTATTTTTGTTTTTTTTTTTTTTTACACAATTTGCTTATAGCAAAGAATTACTTTGCTATAAGCAAGCATTTACCTGAATGACATCGATTCATTCAGGGATTTTTTTTTTGTGCTTAGCTGTGATTTGGCCACAGCTAATCACATGACATGTGCATGTGAGCGCTGTGACCATTCACTGCTAGACACTAGTATACAATGGATGGCATGAATGAAGCCATCCATTGTATACAACTGTCATATGACCTGCTGTGATTGGTCACAGCAGGTCACATGGTACCGGCAACGGGGCCGATACTCAGATCTGTCGGCCGTGTAAGTGCGCATGTGTGCGGGAGTACGCCATATGGTGGCTTCCCGGAAAGCTAGTGCATTTTTCCGGACGCCATACGGCTATTGGCCTGGCGTCATATGGCTAAAACACACTGGACCGAACATGTTCCTATTTAAATTGAAGAAAAAGATTAGGGGGGGAAAATGAACCAGAACGCATTAAAAAATGCACTAGATTGCGCCAAAAAAGCGCATGTGGAAACTCCTCTGCACTGCGTTTCTATGGTGTGAACCAGCTCTAAAGTAATTGTAAAGGATACTTTATCTTTTAGTACATGAAATACCTTCTCTGTAATGGTTCTGCCCAGAGCACCTCTGATCCTCCTCGTCTCGGGTCCCCCCGTCTGGTGCTCCTGGCTCCTCCCCCTTCGACAAGTTCCTACATAGCAGGCCGCTTGCTATGGGGGGCACCAGTGCGGCCGTGCTGGGCGTGTCCTTTATGTATTCTAAACTGAATTGTTCTACTAAAGTACTTCTCATAAAACCCCACAACTTGTTCTGTCCGCCCCCTAGGCTGAGGACCTGAAGGCTCTGCTCAGGCAGATGGAGAATTGGGCACACAGGCTTTTTCCTAAACTGCAGTTTGAAGATTTCCTGAGTCGGCTGGAAACATTGGGGAACAAAAAGGAGGTGCAGGTAAGTGAGCAGTGTAAATGACATGCGTTGGATAATTTTGCGCACTCTGGGTTCCAGAGCATGTAAGAAGTGTACTAAACACTAGGGCCACGTTCACGCTAACAGCTGAGGGGTGGTAAAACCGAATAGTTCAGTTGCATTTTTACTGCCCCCCAACCACTCGCCCCTTTAGCTGCAGGGACAGCGGCCAGGGTTGTACACACGTTGCTGCAGCAAAGCTTTGCTTCATGGCAGAAATTGTACCCCCTGTCACATTTGGCAGGCGTAGCTTTTTCCAATCATGACCCATGCAAGTGAACAAAGGCAACTCTGCAAGCATCCAACAATTGCGCACAAAGCACGCGGTCGCTGCATGCTAGAGTCGGCTTCAAGTGTTTACGGCATGCGGTGAGGGGCAATACCACCCCTCCTCACTGCCTGTCAAATGCTTTCTGAAGAACGATCAAACGCAGAACACTCTTCAGGGGCCGGAACTAATGTGAAAGAGCCTCAAGACCCCATTCACACTTGTGACTTGGGGCATCAAGGTCACATGACACGCGGTACCCCGTGTTTTCCAATGATAACCATCCATATATGTGTCCCATCATACCTCTGCCCTTGGGAGTCATGCTTGTAACTGTCAATCTTGCAATGCCTCATGGGACTTGTAGTTTGGTAACAGCTGGAGAGCCGCCAGTTTGACACCCGTGTCCATCAGACACAGTTTTATGTGTATCGGCAGCATCTTTACTCCTCTAGGTTCTTCATCTCCTAATGAATTTCATGCTGTTATGTATTTTAATTCCATTCTGATATTTTGTCACTTTTCAGACTTGCCTAAAACGAATTCGGATGGATCTGCCCATCGTACACGACGACTTTGTCAGCGATGAAGGTATTTCCTGCGGCCTGTTGTGTTCATTCATACTGGGACTCTCTTCGCTTTGTCAGGGGAACAGAAGAACTTTTCCTACCAGTCACTTTTTTTTTTTTGTAACCTGAGCCCATATATATATATATAATTTTTTTTTTTTTTTTTTTTTGTAGTGTTCCAGGTAGAAATGTAAAATTTCTGGAACTTTTAAAGCTATGAGAAAAAAATGGAAAAGCCAGGAAAAAAAAAAAAAAAATTGAATTTTTTTTTGCACCTTTCCTCTACCTCCCTCCTCTCCTATATTAAAGATAGGGTGGGGGAGGGGGGTACCTGATTTTGACAAGCATCCGTTCCTACTTTTGGTCAGATTTCTGCAGCGATCTGAGAGGAAGTTTGCCCTCCCCCCTTCCCCGCAGGAGACTGCGGGACCATTCACTTGGTGCGGCTCACACATGTGCAGTGAGCAGCTGGCTGTAAAGCCACAAGGTGTTACAGTTAGGCTACGTTCACACTAGCGCTGTGTGCAGGCGGCAGAGAGGCGTTTGGGAAGCGTTTTTACCGCTTCCCAAACGCCTCTGCCAATTCTGCACATTACAGCACATGGTGCTGTTCTAACGGGAGCGTTTGCGTCGCGTCGCGGCAAAACGGACGCCTCTGGACGAGTCAGGAGGCTTTGAAGCCTCCTATTCTCGTCTATGGTGCCGCTCCGCAAACGCCCGGCCGGCGTTTGCGGTGCGGTTGCGGGGCGTTTGCGGAGCTGTAACACCACTCAAACTGCATTATAGGCGTTTGTGGGGCGTTATTAACGCTCGGCAAAACGCCTAGCAACCGCCGCTAAACCGCGCATGCGGCGTTTGCGGAGCGTTTGCCGAGTGTTAAAAAACGCTCCGCAAACGCCGGACCAACGCTTGCCAAATGCTATAGGGGCGTTTGGCAAGCGTTGGCAAAACAGCCTAGTGTGAATGAGCCCTTAAGATGCCGGAACCTGGACCTGAGGTAAAGAGCCGGGCCGGGTGCGGACATCGCTGGATCCCTGGACAGGCCGGCGGCTGTGTTTTTAAAAGTCAGCAGCTACTGTATTTGTAGCTGCTAACTTTTAAATTTTTTTCCAGCTAGTGGAGGACTTTTAAAAGAAAAACAGCCGCTCATCTGTCCTGGGATCCAGCGTTGTCGTCACCACAGATGGCTTCAATGGCCGTCCTCTGGCCTCGGCTTCTTAACCCCTTAAAGTCCGGACACTTTCACCCCCTTCCCCCCCCAGGCCAATTTTCTGCTTTCAGCGCAATCACACTTTGAATGACAATTGCGCGGTCATGCAACACTGTACCCGTATGAATTTTTTAGCATTTTTTTTGAGACAGATAAAACTTTATTTTGGTGGTATTTATTCCCCGCTGGGATTTTTTTTTTTTTTTTGCAATGTAAATTAAAAAGTCCAAAAAGTTTGAAAAAAAGTGTTTTTCTTATAAAATTTTGCAAATAAATAGTATTTCATCATAAATCTTGGCCAAAATTTATTCTGTTATCTTTTTAGTAAAAAAAATAACCCAAATTAGTTTATAACCAAAAATTATAATTTTTAAACATTTTTGTTTTACTTTTTTTTTTTTTTTTTATATTATTATTTTTTTTTTTTACATGCGGTCACCCTAGCAGTAGTGTCACCATAGTGACACTGTACTACTTGTGGGGGGTGATGAAGATTTTTTTTTTTTTTTTTTACATACTGTCACCCTAGCAGTACAGTGTCACCATGGTGACACTGTACTACTTGTGGGGGATGATGTAGATTTGTTTATTTTTTTTACACTGATTGCTTTTACACCCATAAAGGCTGTAAAAGCAATCATTTCGCCTTCTCTCTGGCTGCATTCTTGCAGCCATTGAGAAATACATTGTGAGCTGTGATTGGTCACAGCTTGTCACATGGTACAAGGCTGTTGTGAATGGCCCTGTACCATGTGATCTCTGTGATCATTAACAGATTTCACACGTAGTAAGCAATGATGTCAGAAGTGACATCTTGCTTACACCTATTCATGTGATCACTGATTGGCTAATTAGTGATCACATGATCGGGACCTCACACAGAGGTCCCGTATGACGCTCCGTGCTCCACTGTGTCCGGAGGGAGCGCGCACAAGCAGAAGGCGGGGAGGCCTTTTATATACAACGGCCGGACGGGAGGTGGTTAAGTGGGAATCTGACTTGCAGATGCCCACTGCGCTTTCACAAGCTACGCATTGCGAATGGTCCTGCAGTTCTCTGGGACCTGTCAAGTGTCCCAGAGGACTGAGGGGGGCAGGAGAACTTCCACTTCCGACCGCCTAGGCGATCGCAGTGTGGTAGCGGGTACCTGTTAAACTCGGGTAAAATCCCACCATGCCTTGAATTCTTCTTTAAAATCAAATGCTGATGTGATTAGAGCCGTAGCTGTTCTGAGAGATTACTTATTTTTATTATTATTATTATTATTACTATTACTGGGACTTCTATAGTGCCAACAGTTTGCGCTGCACTTTACAGATGAGACGATCCACTTCTCTGATAGGATCCTATGTGTGCGATGTTCTCCAGTGGCTCTGAACATGTTAAATGTTTTATTAAGACTTTGAAAATTGTGTGGCCGATAATCTCTGTGTTGTATTAATTAGTCATTTAATGTGACTTAAATACTGCCACAAAAATCAAATGGTTCCTGCGGACAGGACCTCTGTAGGTATCGGGGTTTCTGTGCGATGGTTCCATACATCACATTTTAGACTTTTTGTAACGTCTCATTCATATTAACGCTGGATGATTTCTTTGTTGCGGTGTGTTTATGAATTCTCTGCATTTGTTCTGTTTCTCCAGTTGTTGTACAGATGGAAGATGACCAGATTGAGTCTGAAGACATTCCAGCTTTCCCAGAACCCTCTGCACCGTCTTTGTCACAGTCCAGCACCACTGAGCTGAGCGAAGAGACAAGGCAGAAGATAGAGAAGAACAGGCTACTGGCTCTGGAGAAGAGAATGCAGAAGATGCAGGCACTAGCAGACAGTCAGGGTATGAATCGCACTTGGGGCTCATTTACACTTGCACTTGGGGGGGGCAGTTAAACCCTGAGGTTAACGCCTTGGCGCCGCGGCGCCTTCCCGTCCTTTAATTGGGTTTCAGAAGCCGGGAGGGGGGTGGGGTTTAGGGTCATGTGACGGTCACATGATCGGGAAAGGTCCTGATCGAAAGAGCAGACCGGGACCTTTCTGTGAGTACCGGACATGTGTGCTGGGAGTGCGCAGGGCACACGCTCTCAGCACGCTTTTCTTAATGGCACACAAATGTGCGACCGCTCGGTGTCAAGGCCCAGACGCCGGGAGGCCGCACATTTGCGTGTGGCCGGTGCCAAGAGGTTAAAGTGATGTTAAAGGCAATGTTTTTTTTTCTAAAAATCAACATTTCATACATATCTGCTCTGAGCAATGGTTTTGCACAGAGCAGCCCGATCTCTTCATCTCAGGTCCCCCTGCGGCTTCTACAGCTTGCTATGGGGGCACCCAAGCAGACTTTCTCCCGAGCCGCTGCTCTGCGTGTCCATTCACACAGAGCCACAGCTCGGCCCTGCCTCCTCTCTCTCCTCACTGGCTGTGATTGACGTGGGAGCCAATGGTGGGCGTCTCAGTCAATGAGCAGGACGAGTCCCCAAAGAACTGAGGCTCTTGTGAACATCGCTAGATCGTGATCGGGTTCAGGTATTTATTTGGGGGGGGGGGGGGCTGCTGTACACAATAGGTCTTTACCTTCATGCATTGAGCCTTTACAAGGACTTTAATCCACTTGGAGTACACTACCACCTGCCGTGCACAACCCATTCATATGCATGGGCCCATGCTGTACCGGCTGAATGCGTGATAGTCCTGCATTTAGGAGGTTATAACAGGCTGTGAGGAGATAATACAGCACCTCTCTGAATGTCGAATGTGGATTGCTCTTCAGATAGCAAAGCAAGTGTACATGAGGCCTAACTGTCATGGCGTCACTTTGCTGAGCTTTATGCTTTTGCAGTAATATACTGAAATACGCTAATGACACCATCTTAGATTGTAAGCTCCCAGGATCAGGGCCCTCCTAACCCTCTTGTATTGAACTGTATTGTTGCTGTATTGTCTCCCGTTATATTGTAAAGCGCTGAGCAAACTGTTGGCGCCATAAATCCTGTATAATAATAATATATAAATCCTGTATAATAATAATATATAAATCCTGTATAATAATAATATATAAATCCTGTATAATAATAATAATATATAAATCCTGTATAATAATAATAATATATAAATCCTGTATAATAATAATATATAAATCCTGTATAATAATAATATAAATCCTGTATAATAAAAATATATAAATCCTGTATAATAATAATAAATCCTGTATAATAATATATAAATCCCGTATAATAATTATATAAATCCTGTATAATAATAATATATAAATCCTGTATAATAATAATAAATCCTATATAATAATATATAAATCCTGTATAATAATAATAATAAAAAAAAAATTATTAAATGAAGAGCTGTAACACATATCAGTCAGAATTCAGTCTGCGAAGGTAAAACCGCACATGCTGGGCTTTGACTGGCCACACTTACCAATTCGCAATAAAGATTTCTTCAGTGGATTGGGCTGTAATGTCCGCATTGTGATCTCCATCATCAGGTTGACTAAAAAAAAATTCTTACAAGCGTTGTTTGCAGCTAAGCTGCCCATATGTCCCGACGGTATTTCAGGTGATTACTAATAACGTGAGGTCTTCATAAAATATTACAAAAGTGCAAATTGTGATCCCCTCCGGGCACTGCTTGTACAGATAATAAGGATTCCTCCAGCTGCCTACATTGCATGTAACACTTCTCTGTTCTGGTGCTGCAAATCCTCTGCCATGGATTCTTAGCATATTGGCCGATGTCCTTGGGGTGTGGGTCACATTGTAAATTGT